GCTGAACCTTTTGGATGAGGTGCAGATCCCCAGGATTCGTAAAGATCTGATACTAACTTTATTGACAGCGGCGACAGCAACCATTGCTCAACATTGGAAAAATGAAAAGCCCCCCGCACTAGACCAGTGGTTAAGCAAAGTTTGGGATTATTTTACCTTAGAAAAGTTTGCAGTGTATTCAGATAGAACAGTAATGATGAGGTTAATATTAGACCCATTCGACAAATGGTTTCCTTTCTTAGAAAAAGTAGAAGCAGATAAGATGATTTGTGAAAAAGGGGCCTTGCATAATACTGAGGTAATGCTTTTGTAAGCTCTGAGAACTACTGCTATTGGTGCATGTAGGTATTAGATTTGGAGTTTTCTTTTTTCCTTCTCACGTTAGGCAGTGTTGTCATTCACCTCTTATAGTCTATGCCAGTGTTAATGTTCTTGTTGTTGTTAAAGGTAAAGGTAAAGGTTCCCTTGCTCGAAAGCCAGTCGAGTCTGACTCTAGGGTTGCGGTGCTCATCTCCGTTTCAAAGCCAAAGAGCCAGCACTGTCCGAAGACGTTTCCATGGTCATGTGGCCAGCATGACTAAACACCAAGGCGCACGGAACGGTGTGACCTTCCCACTGAAGTGGTACCTATTTATCTACTTGCAATGTCTTGCTTTCGAACTGCTAGGTTGGCAGGAGCTGGAACTAGAGACGGGAGCTCACTCCGTCATGTGGCACACTCGGGTCTCGAACTGCTGAACTACCGACCTTTCACAGCCTGCAGTTCAGCGTCTTAACCACTTGAGCCACCGCAGCTCCTTTCTTGTTGTTGTTATACCTGTGTAAAAACTGTTTCTGCTTTATAAAACCTGTTGAAACTCAATAAAACTTTTTTTAAAAAATATATATATATCATGCTTATCCTTCTACAATCTGTTCAAATAAACATACCACATTGATAAACAGGACAGCAGCGTCCGGGGGGAGTATGAGACACGGCTTCAAACCCGAGCTCACACGTAGGAAGTCTGACTGTGCAGTCAGTGGCATTACATACTGTAAAACAGAAAAGGCAGGATGGAATTGTAAGAAGACTGGGCATTCTGTAAATTGAAGTCAAGCAAAACTGTCGCACAGTGAAGCATGCAAGCATCCTGTAAAGAATCTAATTTTAGAGACTCTCCCGCTATTGGTACTTGTGTATCTTTTTTGAAAAAATTCTTGTGATAATCAATTCTCCCTCTCAGCTGTGGAGCCTTGTGAGCAAAGATTCTACTTGGTGAGCTACTGGCATTAAAGTTGTGAGCAAGCGATTTGGCCACTGCATCAGTTAGTTTGCTCTGGAGCCATCCTTCCTGAGCTAAGACAAAAATGTGTGAGCTGGAGGCTAAAAAACTGTGCGCTAGCTCACACTAACTCAGCTTAGAGGGAACACTGGTGATAATATTGTTGATAATTTTCTCTACAGGTGCAAGACACTGCAATAACTGAATCAGAGCAATAGTCTACCTAGCCTGCTATTCATATACAGTTCTCCAGTCTGTCCTAGCATTGCTTCTTGAAACATTTCAACTGGTCATAGCAGGAAGTGAATCCAGGATCTTGTATTTGCACGGCATATGCTTGACCACTGACCTATGGTTATTGTATCTCCAATCATGGTCAATTACTTAAAATGCAAGAAGCTACTAAGATACACTTACCACAAGTTGTTTTAGAACAGCATTTGTCATCAGGGTTGACTTCAGAGATCTTGTAGAACCCTTCTCCTTCACACTGCGAGTCATCTACTGCCGGAGGGCATTTATGGTCCTCACAGATAATGCCAGCACCTCCTTCCAGGCAGACACAGTCCTTGCAGTCAAACTCAAAGGTCTCTCCAAACTGTCAACAAGAAGGAACACTCAAGTATCAAAATGCGCGTAAATTAGTAAACACAGTAAAATCTAACCCTGCCCATCCATTTTATAACTGTTAAACAGTGCTATTTTGGGGCAGGAACGCACAGGAATGGAGTTCCCGCTGGCTTCAGAGTTGGCCACGCCCACTACAGCCAAAACCTCTGCGTGCCTGGCTACAGAGGGAAGGCCTGGAGAGTGACCCCCCCAGCGACTCCGAGGTGGGCCGACCAGGGGTGGCCCTGGAAGGATCGGGGAGGTATTTAAATGCCTCCCCGTGCCTTCCCCGGCCTGTCCAAGGGCCGGCTTTCCCGAGCGCCCCACATCCCGGGCGTCCGGGCAAGCCAAGGGGAGGCAGTTTAAACTGCCTTCCCTCCCCTTCAAGCCAAGGGAAGTCATGGGGTGTGGCCTAATATGCTAATGAGCTGTACTGTCAGGGGTGTGGCCTAATGCTAGTGAGTTTCTGCTGTTGGGTGTGGCTTGTTATGCTAATGAGTTCCTGCTGGGCTTTTTCTACAAAAAAAAAGCCCTGCTGTTAAAGAAATACAGACAAGGACCTCAGGAGTCAGAAAAAGAGACTTATAAATTCATTATGCTGTACTCCAGAACTGTTATCATAATGCATCCCTTGAGGCACGGGTCCCCGATGGGGTGCCTACGGTTGCCATGGCACCCGCCTACACCTTTCCCGGTGCTCACCAACTGTTTGTACCTAAGTGGGGTTTGTACATAAGAACATAAGAATAACCCTGCTGGATCAGACCAGTCGGCCATCTAGTCCAGCATGCTGGCTCACACAGTGGCCAACCAGTTCTTCTGGAGGGCCTACAACAGGGCATAGAGGCCAAGGCCTTCTCCTGACGTTGCTTCCTGGCATCAGGATTAAGAAGTTGACTGCCTCTTAGTCACCAGGGCTAGTAGCTGTTGATGAACCTATCCTCTGTGAATCTATCCAATCCTCTTTTAAAGCTGTCTCTGCCTGAAGCCATCAGTACATCCTCTGGCAGTGAATTCCACATTTTAATCACTCTGTGTGTAAAGTAGTATTTCCTTTTGTCAATCCTGAACCTACTGCCCATCAGCTTCATTGGATGCCCTCAAGTTCTAGTATTTTGGGACAGGGAGAAACAGTTCTCTTTGTCCTCTCTCTCCACCTTATGCATAAATTTATAAACCTCTATCATGCACTCCTTAGTCATCTCTTTCTCAACAGAAAAGTCCCAGACTCTTCAACCTTTATGAATAGGAAAGGTGCCCCAACCCCTAAATCATCTTGGTTACCCTCTTCTGTTCTTTTTCCAGGACCATGATGTCCTTTTTGAGATACAGTGATCAGAACTCCACACGGTATTCCAAATGAGGCTGCACCATTGATCTATCCAAGGGCATTATAGAACATAAGAGAAGCCAATGTTGGATCAGGCCAATGGCCCATCTAGTCCAATACTCTGTCACACAGTGGCCAAAAATACCAGGTGCCATCAGGAGGTCCAGCAGTGGTGCCAGGAAGCCCTCCCACTGTTGCCCCCCAGCACCAATTATAATTAGGGTTGCCAAATTGGCCCGGGGGGTGGGGAATTCCCCGCTTTGGAGCCCCGATTTCCGGCCCGGCGGAATCAGGGCCCGGCAGGAACCCTGCCCCCGAAGCTGCATCACCAGAGGTGACGCAGCCACATTGCTGACATTGGGGGCGTGGCTGAGCTCAGCTTCCTTTTAACTATTCTCCTTATTTTTGTAAAGTTCCCTCTTTTGAAATCAAATGTTAAAGTTTTGGACTTTAGAGATCGCTTTCCATTGACATGAATGCTGAATATAATGGCATTGCAGTCACTGTTCCCAATTAGTGCAACAACCTCTACATATCTCACCAGGTCTTGAGCCCTGTTCAGAACTGTGTCCAAGATGACTACCCTCTGGTTGGCTCTGTGATAAACTCTTCCCGTGCAGTCATTTATGATGTCTAGGGATCTCATTTCTACAGCATGACCTGAGCACACGTTTACCCAGTCAATGTGAGGGTAGCTGAAGTCTCCCAGTATCACATTATCTACTTTAGTCACCTCCCTTATTTCCTTCTCAATCTCAAGATCTGCCTCAATTGTTTGATCAGGTGGGCAACAGTACACCCCATTTTTAAGTAACCCTCAGGGCCCAGTATTTTGATCCATATCATTTCTGTTGGGGAGTTAGTTCTCCTAATATTTTCTAACTTGATTCTATGCCCCCTTTGATGTACAACAGAACGCCTCCCCCAAACCCATCTCCCCCTGTTCTGTCTATAAAGCTTACATTCAGGGATGACTGCATCCCATAGATTTTCCCAATTCCACCATGTTTCTGAGAGACCTACCATATCTAAATTGTCATTTAGCACCAAACACTCCAGTTCCCCACCTTGGCTCGGAGATTTCTAGCAATAGCATATAGACACCTATAACATGTCTATAAGCACAGCAGGGCCTGTTATTGTCCACTGGAGATCTGATTGGCTATGTCCTCCCATGGCACCCATTTTGTGGTTTTGCCTACCACTGTGTGTCAGAATTCCAAAAGTGCCTGCAGTCTCAAAAAGATTGGGGACCCCTGCCTTGAGGAGAATTCATCCAAATAGCTTAATGTAAAATAAAAAATGTAGGAGTTTGCAATTTATTTTCTCAGAGAAAAATACAATAAAATGGAATGCAAATAAACAAGCAAGCATCTTACCGCCCTTGGTATATTATCTGGTCCAACACATCCTGTAAACAGAATAAAGAAAAGCTTCACTACTTGTGGCAAAGTTCCTGATAGTCATATACATTTTAAATTAATAAATATGTTTGAAAGAAAAAAAGAGTTAGAACCCAAACTTACCACAGGTTTTTACACAGACATCCACACCAGAGTCATAAAGCGTTGTCCCTTCAGGGCAGAAACAACCTTCCACTTGTGTTTCATTCGCTACTGTTATGCTACTATAGATGAAAATTTAAAAAAAAATTATTATTATTCTTGTACAGCCTGGCATATTTATAGCGATTAAAGCTAATGATATTCTAGAAGAAATACATATATAACAATTCTAACATGAATATCTTCCACCAACAGAGACTGTTCTTGATTATTGTGTCTTTACTACACTGCATTCTCGAGGTAATATAGGTTTCAGATATTTATTTGTGCTGGGCCCTGGAATCAGTGTATGTTTGTAGGGACAGTAAAACAGTAACACGGGTGGGATAAACAACAGAATTAGGAATTTCACTCTCTTTCAGGTAGCAAAGACCATACATTAGCTGACCTATAAGAGCTACTACAGTTCAAAACTCAAATAAGGACAGAGTTGCTTGTCTTCTGTGAGGCTATGTTTATATAATGTGTGTGTATGAAATAACCTATATTAGCATAGCAGATATGCGCTGGGCATATTGCCCACAGTACTTTCTAATGGAGAATTGTCCATACATTGATCTGAGAACACCCAAGGGCTGGGTAACTGAATGAGGCATGCTCATACCTCCAGTTGAAGACTGTGCCCCCATGGGAGGGAAGCAGGTATGCTCCTCCCACCTCATGAAAAGTGTGATGAGGAGTTCTGTGAGGACACCAAGCTATGCATGGACAGGCAGATTCATGTATTCCTCTCCCCTCTACAAGGTGGTGAAAATCCTGTGGGTTGGCCTCAGCGGACTATCAGTGATACCTGTATCACATGTCACTTCATGGAACAGGAGAAGTGCCCCCTTCTCAACCGTACACACTGAATCCGCCGCGGGAGAAGTTGTTTCAAGAATTTCCAGCACTTTTGTTTTAAGCTACTGAGGGGGAGCAGGGGAGTACACAAAGCTAATGCCTAAACACACACATTTGACTAAATAATGGCTCCAAGGAACTCATCCGTTTATACAAATGGATCGTACTGAGACTGAAAGGTCATAAAAGTAATTACCCAGATTTGCAAGTCTTCTCTTCAGATGGACCACATGCCTTGTAGATTTTGTTTGATGGGCATGGCACGGCTAGATTAAGACACACACACACAAAAGAGACGAAAGACGGAAAAAGATCAGTGGCATTATCCCAATTATTCTTTCTAAAAATAATATCCCACATATACCTATTGAACAACTTTCAGCCAGGAACAGGAAATGAGGGACTCGTGGAGGGGGTAGTGTGCAGACTTCCCACACAAGGAGGGCAGGAAAACAAAAACTGAGGGCCAAACTACACAAGAGTTTTTTATGAGTTGGGTCTGGGCAGGCCTGTAGCTACAGTGGGGCATGTCGGGGCTCAGCCCTCCCCAACTTCCTGACAAGGCCCCCTGAACTGTCATCTAGCCCCCAGCTGCTGCTACCCCTTCCCCAAGCATGGCTGGCTTCCCCAACTGACGTCAGTGCCCCCCAACTTATTTAAGGGCCCCCCAAATTACAAAATCCTGGCTACGGGCCTGGGTCTGGGTTCCCTGGACATCACTTGCTTTCCCCACAGCCAATTCAGCTCAAGACTGTGGCACGGAAGGAGGAGGAACTCTTGCCTTCCTTCTGTAATGTTTTCCCAAGCTGAGATGGCCCCTGGGTTGGGACTTATTTGGCCCATTCTGGAGCTGCACATGCTGCATGTGTAGCTCCAAGTGAGGCAAAAAGCTGCCTTGGGAATTACTTTGATTCCTGCAGACTTTGAAAATGATGTTCCCTGTAGTTGCGGGCATTAAAAAAAGTCTCGTATGATTTGGCCCTCAAGCAAGGGTGTAAAGAGGAGGGTTGGGGAGGAGAAGAGAAACCTATCTATTTATGCCATCACCTTTTTGTACCATCTCTTCTCTCTTAATGCTCATGATATATTGATGCGGTATTTTATATTATTTAACGTACTACTTTAATTGTGTCTTTATACTGTAATTCCTTTTTTATTTGGCAGACACATCATTTTAAAAGTGTATATTTTTATCCAGGGTCATTTCGTAAAAAAAGAGGTGCAGGAGGAAGGAAGGAAGGAAGGAAGGAAGGAAGGAAGGAAGGAAGGAAGGAAG